CCTGTGCAGCCCCCGAGAGAGCCGGCCGGCGGTGTGCCGCTCCCCCGCGGAAGTGGGGAAAGTGGCTAGGGGGAACCGCCCTTCCACGGAGGTGGAAGGGATGGTAGCCAACCCGGGAAGAACCAGCAGCAAACCCAGGGAGGGCCGAGCAGACAAAAGAACAGCGCAGGGTCCTGTGTCGTTCCCCCACGAAGACGGGGAGCGACATAATGGTGCCGTAACTCGGATATGAAGCCTAGGCAGGGTTTAGTGTCGTTCCTCCACGAAGAGGGGGAGCGACATAATGGTGCCGTGACTCGGATAGGAAACCTAGGAGGGAAGAAACAGGAAGAAGTGGGAAATTACCGGAGAGAGAGACTAGCAAAGAGCCTAGGGAAAAGCCGGACGGAAAAAGGTGCCGGAAGAAGCTATTGAAAGCCTAGGCATAGACTCGGATACAGACTACGGGGGGGAAGCTGGGAGAAATCTCTAAGGTCGAAAGCGAAAGTGAAAGCTAGAACAAACAGACTCGGATACGGACTGTGGGAAAGAAGTTAGGATTTAAAGTGAAAGCAAGAAGAAACTTAGACTCAGATACGGACTGCAGGTTGAAAGTGAAAGTGAAACCTATAAGAAACTTAGACTTGGATACGGACTGTGGGGAGAGGCCAGGAGAAATGAGGGAGGAATATTGTTGGAAGAAAACTTAGGGAAACATACCGGGTAGAGAAAAATGTTAGGGAGGATGAAGCCGCGAGTGCAGGCCGAGGCGGAGACGTAAGCCAGCTTGGAATTCTTCAAGTCAGCCCGGGGAGCAAAAGGCGAAAATCTGGAACCAGAGGCAGAGACGTGGGCTGCCAGGTTGGAATTCGCCAGGTTAGTCCGGGGAACTTGGACTGAATGCCGGTGGCGGAAATGTGAGCTACGCTGTGTGATTCGCGGAAGCCGCCGCGTGCAGAGAGAGCACGGGGCGTGAATAGATAGGGAACGCGGGGCTGGAGCGAGGCCGTGGTGCAGACGCGAAGGGCGTGGAGACCGCGGAGTGTGCGTGCGAAGCCGAGCCGCGTGGAGCCGGGAGCCCGCCACAGGGCAGGCGCCGGGAAGCCGCGCAGATGAGAGAAGCGTGGGCTGAAGCGGCTCAGAGCTGGGAAGCCGCCGAGAAGCAGCCTCGGGGCGGGCGCCGGGAAGCCGCGGAGATAAGAGAAACAGAAGTTTAGAAGTAAAATGAGAGAAATAGGAATGCCCAGAGATAGAGAAATAGAGAAAAATAAGGCCTCCCCTCAACATGGCAATGAGAGAGCTTGGATTCAGTCTGCCTGATTAGGGAGGTGGTGAGCACCTGCGGGCGGCTAGCAGCTTATGCGCCGCATGTCACCGAAGACAGGCACGAATTAACATCAATAAGTCTCCCCACAATACCGCAATGAGAAGGCTTGGATTCGGTCTGCCTGATTAGGCGGTAAGCACCAGCAGGCAGCTCGACCAGAGTATGAGCTGCAGGTCACCAAGATAGGCACGTTATCAACACCAATAAGTCTCCCCACAATACGGCAATGAGAAGGCTTGGATTCGGTTTGCCTGATTGATAGGGTTTGTAAGCACCTGCAGGCAGTTCTAGCAGAGCAGAGCATGCGCTGCAGGGCACCGAACACAGGCACGCATCAGCGCCTAAAAACCTCCTCACAACATGGCGAAGAGAGGACCCGGATTCGGTTTGCCTGATTGGTAGGGCTTGTAAGCACCTGTGGGCAACTCTAGCAAGCAGAACAGAGTGTGTGCCGCGGGGCACCGAAGACAGGCGTGTATCAACGCCAAAAAATAAAAAGAAAGGGGGATCTGTGGGGAGCAACTCGGACTAGACTAAGTTACTGGAATTAAGACTTATTCTATGCATCTGCTCTCCCACAATATGGCGCTGGGAGAGGAGGAAACAGCTTCTACGCAGCTGCCTCTTGCCAACTTGAGTGATGACCTCCAGGAGCTGATCCTGCTCCTGATTGGAGGAGAGCAGCGTACTTGGCGTGTGGGCAGCCGAGTTGGGATTGGCGGAAGAGGACTATAAAGGAGGAGAGAGACAACTTGCACCAGGAACATCTAAGGGGAACATCTGAAGGAACACCTGTGCAGCCCCCGAGAGAGCCGGCCGGCGGTGTGCCGCTCCCCCGCGGAAGTGGGGAAAGTGGCTAGGGGGAACCGCCCTTCCACGGAGGTGGAAGGGATGGTAGCCAACCCGGGAAGAACCAGCAGCAAACCCAGGGAGGGCCGAGCAGACAAAAGAACAGCGCAGGGTCCTGTGTCGTTCCCCCACGAAGACGGGGAGCGACATAATGGTGCCGTAACTCGGATATGAAGCCTAGGCAGGGTTTAGTGTCGTTCCTCCATGAAGAGGGGGAGCAACAATACTTTATCCCTTTTAGTATTTTTTTTGGTTGTTCTACTTAATACTATTGGTTGAATTCTGTAATTAATACAAGTTATTCTTAAGTGTTGAAACTTAACTGAAAAGTGATCCCTGTTAAATATAGAGTGGGAATAAGAGAGGGAAGAGATGTATAATTTGGGACATGCTTAATCGGACTTGCCCCAAATGGTAGAATTAGAAACATACCAGGGGATTCTAATACAATCCCATCAAGGTGGCATGTACCAATGCCATCTCACTAGTCCCAGTGATCAATTTCTGTTCACAATTGATCGTAATGATAGGACTAAGAATCAAAGGGATCACATAAACAAGAATAGTGTCTGCAAATACTAGCTGATAGAATCAAAAAGGGAGAGAATGATCCAACATGGGAAGTGAGATACACAGCAGAACCATGGAATGGCAAATGTCCTAACAGCACTCTGGCCTCAGAATCAGCCCTTAAGGCATGCGGATCCAGCTGAAATGCCCATGAGAGTATTTCAGGCATGGAAAGCCAAGACACTCTGGGGGAAAAAAAAAAAAAACCTAAATGAAAGATCTCCACGAGTGAGATCCCAGTGGAAAGAATGGGTCATCAAAGAAGGAGGTACCTTTCTCTGACGGGAGGAGAGAACTTCCACTTTGACCATGGCCTTGTCTAAATATGATAAGAGTCGGTGAACTCAAAAGGCTTCCATAGTCTTGGCAACTCATGACAAGAGCCTAGGGTGATTACTGCTGCCATAAACCAGAGTGTCAATTTGTTAAGTCAACAACAGGAGTCACTGTGCACTTACTCCTCATGTAGGATTTCTGTCCTTAATATGTTGTACAATGTGAGTTAATGGTATAACTAGTACTCAAACAGTATTTTTCACTTTATGTTTCTATGTGGGTACAAACTGTTCAAATCTTACTTAATATATACTAAACTGATCTTCTGTATATAAGAGAATTGAAAATGAATCTTGATGTGAATGGAAGGGGAGAGAGAGTGGGAAAGCGGAGGGTTGAGGGTGGGAGGGAAGTTATGGGGGGGAAGCCATTGTACTCCATAAGCTGTACTTTGGAAATTTATATTCATTAAATAAAATTTAAAAAATGAAAAAATGCAAAAAAAAGCACTTTGCAACTAAAAAGAATAAGCTGGCTGGTGACTTGGCTCATTAGGCTAATACTCCACCTGCTGCGCCGGCACCCCGGTTTGTAGTCCCAGTTGAGGCATCAGATTCTGTCCCGGTCGCTCCTCTTCCAGTCCAGCCCTCTGCTGTGGCCTGGGAAGTCACTGGAGGATGGCCCAGGTGCTTGGGCCCTACACCTGCATGGGAGACCAGGAGGAAGCACCTGGCTTGGGATTGGTGTAGCTTGCCGGCCAAATTGGCCATTTTGGGGGTGAACCAATGGAAGGAAGACCTTTCTCTGTCTATAACTCTATAACTCTGTGTCTATAACTCTGTGTCTATAACTCTCTCTCTCTTTCTCTCTCACTGTCTAACTGCCTTGCAAAAAAAAAGGCTACCATCAGAAAGAAAGAAGCAGAAAACGTGAAAGAGCTACTGGAATTCAAACCAGGATTTTCTAAATTCAGAAATTCAGTTTAAAGGTTCAGAAAGCAGAGCAGGACAAAGAATGAATAAATGAGTAGGAGGTGAGAGAATCAAGCCAAGTAGTCTCATATCCATGACTTGTTAGATAATAACTCACACATTGCACTGTTCTTAGTAGTTTACCTGTACTGATTCGTTTCATCTGTCCAATTAGGTACTCTTACTGTTCCTAATTTTTAGATGATGAGACATCTGAGAAGTTAAGTAACTTGCCCACGCATACAAAGCTGATACATGTAGATGTAGAACAGTCCCTAAGCCTGTCTTCCAGTACCATGTTGGTGCTAAAATGTAGTGTGTACGTGTTTCTGGAAAAAAAAAAAAAAAACACAGAGAAGCAGATATCTAACTGGTCATTCTATAATCAGGGCTGTGTTTTTTGTTTGTTTTTTATTTTTATTTTTTTGACAGGCAGAGTGGACAGTGAGAGAGACAGACAGAGAGAAAGGTCTTCCTTTGCCGTTGGTTCACCCTCCAATGGCCGCCACGGCTGGCGCGCTGCGGCCGCCACACCGCACTGATCCAAAGGCAGGAGCCAGGTGCTTCTCCTGGTCTCCCATGGGGTGCAGGGCCCAAGCGCTTGGGCCATCCTCCACTGCACTCCCTGGCCACAGCAGAGAGCTGAACTGGAAGAGGGGCAACCGGGACAGAATCCGGCACCCCGACCCGGACTAGAACCCGGTGTGCTGGCGCCGCTAGGTGGAGGATTAGCCTATTGAGCCGTGGCGCTGGACAGGGCTGTGTTTTGATGCTAATAGGCATCACTGTTGTGGAGCTTAGAATTTATAGTTTTTTAAACTAACTTTTGACTTAAATTTCAAACATATTCCAAGTTTTAAAGAATAATTTTAAATTTTGGAGATTATATGTTAAATTTTTTTATTTAACTAGAACCGTGTTTTTTTTTTTTTTTTTTTACTAATTCATCACTAATACTTTGAAAATGTCACATTCCAGTATAGACAGATATAACATTTAAGCTACTCCATGTTTACCGTCCAGATATCTGTTAGAATTTTGCAGTTGCTGTATCTTGGTGATACTGTATTTCCAGGGTTATCTTGAAGAACTCTTAAGACTTCGAGAGAACCAGCTGTCTGAATCCGTCTCCCAGAATAAAATACTACTTCAAAGGATTGAAGACTCTGATCTGGCCCATAAATTAGAGAAAGAACAATTAGAGTATATAATTGTGGAACTTCAAGATCAACTGTAAGTGAGATTCTTTTAGAAAAATTTTGGCAATATGTAACCATTAAGACAAAATGTTGTATTTGTACATATGACCCAAATTCTAAGGAATCTGATTGCATGCTGTTAAATTATTTTTCAATTATATTTTTAGAGGTTTACTTTTCTTATTACATAAGTGGTTTATGTTTATTGACTAAGCATTAGAAAATATAAGAAGAAAATAAAAATAAAAATCACCTTTAGTTGTGCTACCCAAAGTCAGCTCTTAGAGTTTGGTATAGATTCTTCCAAATGCTTATACACAGTTTTTACAGCATTGATTTGTTTAACTCTTGATTGGTTGCAAAAAGATGGTACATTAGACCAGTGCCACTCACAATTCAGTGCTGGGGCATAAAGTGTTACCAGATTATACCAGAAAATCCCTGTACACAAATGAGTATGGCTGGCTCTTTATTTGTAGCACAGCTTTATTGATTGAGAAAACTGTAATATATGAGTCACATTCTGGTACAAGCTCCTAAAATTGTCACTGTTCAATGCATTTGTACTAATCATTAGGTCAAACTTGCTTTTATAAAGTAATTGTTTACAGTAAAAACCATCAGTTGTTAATATTTATTTAATGATAAGGTTGAGTTTATTTTTCTGAAATGATTTCAGCCTTTCACTGTAGGGATAGTGCCTGTAGGGACAGTGCCAAGAAGCCCTACGTGTGCCCTTGCCTGTGTGGACCAGTTGTCTGCCTTGTGCCCTGTAACTCTCCCTTCACTCACTTCCATAGACGTGTGTCTGGTCAGCTGAGAGGTTGCATATCCCAGATCTCTTGATGCCTTCCTGCCTCAGTGGGTTTTTCTAAGAACAGAGAGATTGACTTTTATGAGTGAAGTTCAATTTAAGAAATGTAAATCAATACCATACTTCAATCTTAACTTTAACTCACATCCCAATTTCATCACTTTTGCAGATTGTGTTCCTTCCTACTGCTTTTGTCTCTCTGGTTCCAGATGCAATTCAGAATCATGTTTTCCATCGGTAGTCAGTCTCTCCAGTCACTTTTAAACTTAGAATGGTTTCTCAGTGTTTTGTCTCATGTGAGACTGATATTTCTGAAATATACAGGCTTTTTATTATTTTATCATTTTGTAGAATGTCCCTGAATTTGTTTTTATCTCGTGGTTAGATTGAGCTTCCCATTTTGGGCTGGGCTATGACAGAATTGCTGTGCTCTCTGCCGTATTTGTCAAGAAGTCCATTGGCCCTTTATTAGTGATGTTAATTAACCATTGGTTAAAGTGTTCTTTTCCTCTTCTGTGCCATTACTATTGTTCATCTTGTAACTAATATAAAATTTATAAGGAGATACTGTAAAGTTTTTTTTTTTTTTTTTTGACAAGCAGAGTTACAACAGTGAGAAAGAGAGACAGAGAGAAAGGCCTTCCGTTGGTTCACCCCCAAAATGGCGGCTACGGCCAGCGCTGTGCCAATCCAAAGCCAGGAGCCAGGTGCTTCCTCCTGGTCTCCCATGCTGGTGCAGGGCTCAAGCACTTGGGCCATCCTCCACCACCTTGCCAGGCCACAGCAGAGAGCTGGACTGGAAGAGGAGTAACCGGGACAGAATCCGGTGCCCCAACCAGGACTAGAACCTGGGGTGCCGGCACCACAGGCAGAGGATTAGCCTAGTGAGCCACAGCGCCGGCCTAAAGTTTGTTAAGTAAGAAAGTCTTATTAGGGAACAAAAATGTTTAATAATTTCTAGGAATTTGTATCTCGAGCAGAGTTTTGTGTGCATATTACTTTTTCATTTTCTTCTGATACTGTAAAGATGTCTTCCTTTGGGGCATCACTCCGTGAGGGGCAGGGTAACACTTCTGTAGCCCCTTGCTTCCATTAACCAGAATGTAAAATATCGAAGTGAAACAATAGAAACTTCTGGCTATTTCTTTACAAAGAAAAGATTTTGAAGATAATCTTTATTTTGCCAGTAATGCTAATAGTTTATCTAAATGCTTTTAACTTAGAATAATCAAAAATTGTTTTTTTAATGAAAATATTTTTTCATGTGAAGAATTGAATTTTAATGGATTGTTTTCTTTTTGGTAATTTAAAAGGAAACAGACTTGCAAACTTTAGTTTGAGAAAATAAACTACCCAGATTATGTTTTTGTCATACTTCTGTAATAGAAGATTATCTTGATTTTGCAGAGGAAATATGTTTTTAATACCTTTAAGGAGATTTTAACTAAAATATTGTTACAAGAGCAACAAATAAAAAATTATGGCCACTGATTAGAATTAGACTATTCCTGAGTTTAGAACTTAGATTTACTTCTTTATATAGGGATGTAGGTATATGTAAATTGGATTCTTACAAGATCTTTTGTGCAAAAAACACATTTTTAAGTTTACTGAACAGGAGAGTAAGGTAACTTCCTTTGTTAGTGTTCACAATGCATTTTATTAATTTCAACTTTAACTGAATAATCAGCTTTAGGATGTAAAATAGTATGGACATTTTTGTATCTTTAGGGAGAGAATGAACATTTTTTGCTTATATTGCTGAGAATTTTTATTGATACCTAGGAAAATCTGCAATCACCACTGGGTGCTGAAATTCCTCTTCTTTAATCCTGAGAAGAGAGAAGTGGCCAAGGAGAGATTAAAAAATAAAGTATATGAAGGAATAGGTCAGAAGAGGACTGTTACCTCATAGAATATAAGGCACATAGTAACTGCTTCTATGTTTTAGTGATTATCTTTTCTAGGGTAATTCAAATTCTGTTATCATTTATTCTTTTAACATGTTTCTTAATGGTTAGATGTATGTTGAGTTACTGTTAAAGTAGTCTTTGAATATTCAAAAATCTGAACATTCTGTGGTTTGGACAGTAGAGTCCAAGTTATTATGGAGTGGTATAGGAGCATCCTGAAGCTTTCTTGCACATCAGTATTGTGTTCATATAACAGTTCAACACTTCCCAGTTAGAAGCACTGTCTACATTATGTCTTAAAGCCTGTGTTTCTTCATCTGTAAAATGATTCCTCTTGTGAGTCATTAGGAATATTACATGGTATCAGGAAAGTATAACTAGCAAAAAGAAGATGTGCAAAGAATGTTTTTTCCCATTTTGATTTACTGCAACATAAAATTACCTCAGTAAATTCACTCAGAAAGATAAGTAGAAAATCAAAAGTGTTTTATCTTATTCCAGAATGCTGCAAATCAGTCAGTAAGTTATATCAGATGTGTTTTCCCTGAGGTTTTTGGTAAGTGTTAAAGTGATCATATAAATAGGATCAAGTGTCTGGTAATAATAATAGAATGAAAAAGGAGATAATGTTCCAACATGGGAAGCAGTCCATACAGCAAACTCATAGAATGACAATTGCTTTAAGTAGCATTCTGACCTCAGAATCAGTCCTTAAGGCATCCTGGTCTGTCTGAAAAGCCCATGAGCATTTCAGGCATGGAAAGCCAAGACTGTGTGGCAAAAAGTGTTCTACATGAAGGACCTCTGTGAGTGAGATCCTAGTGGAAAAAAGTGGCCATCAAGGAAGGCTGTACTTTTCTCTGAAGGGAGGAGAAAACTTCTATTTGCTTATGGCCTTGTCTAAATATTGACAGAGTTTGTGGATTCAGAAGGCTTCCATAGCCTAGGCAGCTTGTGTCAAGATCCATGGGTGGTCACTGATGTCATACATAAGAGTGGTAAATAAACAACAGGAGTCACTGTTCACTAACTTCCCATGCAGGACCTCGGTCCTCAGTGAGTTGTATCATGAGAGTTAACTGTAAAACTTGTTCTCAGACAGTTATGTGTGTATGTGTGTGTGTGCGTGCACACACAAATTGTTGAAATCTTTACATAATATAGACTTGGTCTTCTGTATATAAAGATAATTGGAAATGAATCTTAAAGGAGAATGGGACTGGGAAGGGAAGGGGGAGGAGGAGGAGAAGGGGTGAGAGTGTGGAGGGAGGGCAGGTATGGTGGAAGAATAAAAAAATTATTTTATCTGAGAAGCAGAAAGAGAGATGCAGACTGAGAGAGCTGCCATTTGCTAATACATTCCCCCAGTGCCTGCAAGGGCCAGGGCTTGGGTTAGGCTGAAGACAACAGTCAGAAACTCAATCCAGTTCTCCGGTGTGAATGGCACGGTCTCAATCACTTGAGCCATCACATAGTGCTTCCCTGGGTGCACATTAACAGGAAGGTGGAATTGGGATTGGAACAGGTACTCAAATAGGCAATGTGGACATACCAAGTGGCATCTTAACCATTAGGCCAAATATCTACCTGTACTTTTTCCTGAATTTTGAGAAATTCACTTTTGAATTCTAGGCAGGGTTACAGAGAGAGAGAGAGAGAGAGAAATAGAGAGAGAGAGAGAAATATCTTCCTTCTGCTGGTTCATTCCCCAGATGGTCACAACAGCCAGAACTGGGCCAGGCTGATGCCAGGAGACAAGATCTTTCAGGTCTCCACATGCATGACAGAGGTCCTAGCAACTTGGGCCATCTTCCACTGGGAAGTGGAGCTGCTGGGACTCAGGCCGGTGCCCATATTGGGTGCAGACAATGCAGGCCCTGAGAAATCACTTCTTACTGTGATACATGATTTACTAGAGAGGGGAACTGTTCACTCAGAAGTGATGAGTGTCACATGGTGTTTTATGGGAATGCCACACTTGAGCTCACCACAATAGCAACAGGAGATAGCTACAGAATTCTGACTAGGGCCAGCTCTCTGCTGTGGCCCGGAGGGCAGCAGAGGATGGCCCAAGTGCTTGGGTCCCTGCACCAGCATGGGAGACCAGGAGGGAGCATCTAGCTCCTGGCTTCGGATTGGCACAGCGCCGGCCATAGCGACTATTAGGGGAATGAACCAACGGAAGGAAGACCTTTCTCTCTGTCTCTGTCTCACTGTCTATAACTCTTTCTCTGTCTCTCACTGTCTAACTCTGCCTGGCAAAAAAAAAAAAAAAAAAAAAAAAAAAGAATTCTGACTAGGGGCCAGCGCTGTGGTGCAATGGGTTATAAAGCCCTGGCTTGAAGTCCTGGCGTCCCATGTTGGCACTTATTCTAGTCCGAGCTGTTCCTCTTCCAATCCAGCTCACTGCTATGGCGTGGGGAAGCAGTGGAAGATGGCCCAAGTCCTTGGGCCCCTACACCCACGTGGGAGACTGGGAAGAAGCTCCTGGCTCCTGGTTTCTATTTGGCGCAGCTCCAGCTGTTGCAGCCATCTGGGGAGTGAACCAGCAGATGGAAGACTTTTCTCTCTCTCTCTACCTCTCTCTGTAACTCTTTGAAATAAATAAAATAAATCTTTTTTAAAAAAAGAATTCTGACTAGTATACTATGTACTGTAGCCATTTTTATATGATTTATGATGTAATACTGCATCTTGACATTTATTTGCATTTTTCTAGATAGCAAATGGCACCATGTATATTTGTCTGTGTAAGTTTTGATAAATTTTTACCTGAATAATAATTTGCATACATTTTGTGACAGTAAATGACAACTGTTATTTATTTTATGCATCATGACACACCTTTCTCTTAATTTCTTTTTTGTTTTAAGATTTACTTATGTAGGCCGGCACCGCGGCTCACTAGGCTAATCCTCTGCCTAGCGGCGCCGGCACACCGGGTTCTAGTCCCGGTCGGGGCGCCGGATTCTGTCCCGGTTGCCCCTCTTCCAGGCCAGCTCTCTGCTGTGGCCAGGGAGTGCAGTGGAGGATGGCCCAGGTGCTTGGGCCCTGCACCCCATGGGAGACCAGGAAAAGCACCTGGCTCCTGGCTCCTGCCATCGGATCAGCGCAGTGCGCCGGCCGTAGCCCGCTGGCCGCAGC